GAAATACGAGAAACTGGAGAAGATTGGGGAAGGTAATAGGACCACGAGATGTTCTTGCAAGATCTTCTGCATTCCTTGCATCTCTGGCTCCTTCCTCTACCATCAGCAATGCCCACAGACTCCGACCTCAGCACCGGCTGCAGCCCTGGCCCGAGCTCCACACTCCGTGCAGACAACAATCCTCCTGTTAGCATTTCCTGCAGACGCCCCCCTCCCAAACTTAGCACTCCCTGTAGGCCCGACCTCCGGACCTCAGCACCACTTGTACAACCCCCTTCCCCCCCAGCCTCAGTTCTGGCAGCAGACCTCAACCTCAACATTCCTGCCAGCCTTCATTCCTCTCCCAGACCCCTGCTCACTATTTCCGGCCCCTCTCAAAGCACTGCCTTCATTATAGACCTGCCTGGCAGTCACAGCCGCCCCCTGCTGTAGACCTCTGAGCCTCTGCAGGCCCCTCTGTGCCACGTCCCCACTCACAAAGCTCCGCCACGCCCGGCTTTCACCCTGATTCTCTTCTCTTACTCGTCCAGGCATCAGAACACACTCCCATGATACCTCCCCTCTTGGGAAGGACTTCTTGGGGTGGGGAAGAGTGCCCCATTCTTTCCCTCACCCCAACCTCCTACCACTAGGCACCTACGGAACAGTGTTCAAGGCCAAAAACCGGGAGACTCATGAGATCGTGGCCCTGAAACGGGTGAGGCTGGATGACGATGATGAGGTAGGACTGGGGCATCTGGTGGTGGGTGGGTGGGTGGGGGGATTGAGGGCCTAGGTTGGGTGGGATGTGACTGTGGCCCACCCTGCCCCCTCCCATGTGTAGGGAGTGCCGAGTTCTGCCCTTCGGGAAATCTGCCTACTCAAAGAGCTGAAGCACAAGAACATTGTCAGGTGTGTAGGCCCGAAGGCTCCTCCTTGCCTGTGTAGCCATCCGGAGGAGGTGGGGGCTTCAGCGATGGACTGGGCTGCTAGTGGGGTGTTAGGAGCATCCTTGTGGACCTGCCTGGCTAAGTCCTCCCTTCTCCCTAGGCTCCATGATGTCCTGCATAGCGACAAGAAGTTGACTTTGGTTTTTGAGTTCTGTGACCAGGTGAAAGTGGGACCTGGGGGACAGTAGCCTTGGGAGGATATAGGGGCCCAGACTGAGGTTAAACTCTGTCCCTTCCCCCACTCCATCTCTTTTTAGGACCTTAAGAAATATTTTGACAGCTGCAATGGTGATCTAGATCCTGAAATTGTGAAGGTGAGGGGACTGGTGTTCTGGGGTCTCGTGGAGGCTGGGGTTCGAGTATACGTTCAGTGTACCTGCCTTTGAGCATCAAGCTCAGGCCCTGAACAGAGACGCTCTGGGTGTCAGGGACTGAGAGAATCCTGTGTTTACTCTCCAGGAGCATTTTCCCATGACCTCTGACCTGACAGTAATGGTCTCAGTGACATGATTTACACTTGAGAGATGAAAAAATGAGATTCAAAGAGAGACATTATTCATTCAACAAATACTGAATGTTTTGCTGTGCGCCAGGCACTGTTCTAGGCCCACGACCAAATGCCTTGTCTTAGATTCCAAGGGAAACAAATGCTGAATAATAATATAGCACAATATATGTATATGTTGACTGTTATGATGTGGATGTTCAAATGAGGCCAGGGAAGGGAGAATAGTGTGTGTGTGTGGGGGGAAGGTAGGAAGGTGCACATGGCTGTAAGTCCCCCCATTCATTGTTCATTTCTAATATCCAGCATAATACAAAGTAAACCCTTGATAATAAATGAGTGGTGTGTCGCTCAACTTGGTGCTAAAAGTCTAGTGGGTACGAAGCAAAGCAGAGGGCGAAGAGGGGAGTTGGGCACAGCTTCCCATCCAGAGGGTCTGACGCCCTCTTCCCTGCTCCTCCCCCAGTCATTCCTCTTCCAGCTGCTAAAAGGCCTGGGATTTTGTCACAGCCGAAACGTGCTGCACAGGGACCTGAAGCCTCAGAATCTGCTCATAAACAGGGTACCTCTTGGGGAGAAGGTGGGAGATGGGGGAGACTGGAGCCAATGTCTGAACGATGAGGAAGCCGGGCTGGAAGGTGGGACCACGGAGCTAGCCTTGACACTGTTCCTCCCATCTCCCTCAGAATGGGGAGCTGAAATTGGCTGATTTCGGGTTGGCTCGAGCCTTTGGGATCCCTGTTCGCTGTTACTCAGCTGAGGTGAGCGGGTGGGGTGGGATATTGGGTTGAGGGAGGGCTTCCCCAGTGAGCATCTCTCTCAGCTCCTACTCTAGGACCCAAAACGTTACTCTCTCCTATCTGAGCCTCCTCCCCCCAGCCCTCTAAGTGGGGGGTCCCTGTGGGTGGGGTCTTTTCCAGGTGGTCACGCTGTGGTACCGCCCACCGGATGTCCTCTTTGGGGCCAAGCTGTACTCCACGTCCATTGACATGTGGTCAGCCGGCTGCATTTTTGCAGGTGACGTGCTGGGGGTCTGCAGAGGCACTTTCTCTCCCCTTTGAGCTGACAGATAGGGTTTGGAGGGTCCCCTCTGGGGCAAGGAGCAGGGCCATTGGGGCTGGGGAGTCTCGGGAGTGAGGGTTTCTTCATGTGTCTGCTCCTCTCACCCTGTCCTCTTTCTCCCAGAGCTGGCCAATGCAGGGAGGCCTCTCTTCCCCGGCAACGATGTAGATGACCAGTTGAAGAGGATCTTCCGATATCCTTCCGTTCCCCTTCGCCTCGAGCCCTCTGGAAGGGGAGTAAGGAGCCTTGGGCGATGGGCTGGGTCAGCATGGGAGGGGCTGTGGGCTTCTGAAGGTCAGGGATGGAGGGCAGAGGGTGGGGAACACCCCTGGTTGTCACAGTGCAGCTGCATGCAGCCAGCTGGAAAGAGTGTGACATGTAGACAAGGAGGTATCCCTGGGGGAAGAAGCCAAGAGAATGCTCCTCCAGCTGCAAGGTGACTCCTTAGGACCAGGGAGCCAAAAGGATCAGCAGGAGGGTCTGTGGGGGTCGGGAAAGGCTGGCGGGTCCTCAGTACACAGACATCAGGGTTCAGGTCCCAGCAGATGACATGTGTATCTGTAGCGCCTGGCCCATGGTAAACACCATGCAGGTGGGACTGAAAATGAGAATCCCATGTGCTGGGGCTGCTTCTGTCGTGAGCTGGCAGATAAAGCGGGGTGGGCAGGGGTGAGTCTGAGGAATCCTTCCTGGGAGAAGAGCCTCGCACCCTGCCCTGTTGCACTGAGTGATCCTTGACTCCCTGGACACACTGCTGGGGACACCGACTGAGGAGCAATGGCCCGCCATGACCAAGCTGCCGGACTATAAGGTGTTACGGGGGCTGGGGGTCATGGTTCAGCGGTGGTCCTTATTTCTCAGCCCTAGCAGCCTCCATGCCCCTCACCTCTGGTCTGACTCTGTCTGTCTCCTACAGCCCTACCCGATGTACCCGGCCACAACATCCCTGGTGAACGTCGTACCCAAGCTCAATGCTACAGGCAGGGACCTGCTGCAGGTGACCGAGAGCAGGGGAACTGGGGGAGGGTGGGGCTCCGGACAGCTGGTCCTGCCTGACCCTGCCACGCCTTCCTTCCGTGCCTCCAGAACCTCCTGAAGTGCAACCCCATCCAGCGCATCTCGGCAGAGGAGGCTCTGCAGCACCCCTACTTCTCCGACTTCTGCCCCCCCTAGGCTCTGGGACCCTGGGCCGCCAGGCTGGGGCCTGGCTTGTTTTCAGCCCCCTCCCGGGAGGGGAGGAAAGCAAGGACGCACAGTGTGCTGAGCTCCAGCTGTGCTGGGCCCACGAGGGTGGAGGCGCCCTCGCCTGGGTTCTCTCTCCCTCTACAGACTTTATTTAATTTCATAAATTGGCTCCTTTCCCACAGTCTGGCTAATGTGGTGGTGGGTGGCTCTGAGAGGGTGGGCTTGGATTGGGGTTTCTACCCCGCTTCACCACCACATGCAACCCTGTCCTGTCCCACTGTGCGCTGTATGTGGTCCTGGGCTGGGGGCTGAGGGCTGGGGGCAGGGGTCTATGACTCTCAACCCAGTGGCTGGGCTCAGGGCAGTGTTGTGCCCACACGTGCTTATGTGCTTGTGCACACCACTTTCTCGGCCCAGGAGGGCCTGTGACTAAGGGCTTAGGCAGCCAGTGTCTGAGAGCTTCCACTGGAACAGGAGAAAAGGGCCGGGCGTTTCCTTGTGGTTCTCCATATCCCATGGGTGCCTGCCCTGTCCCTTCCCTCTTCATCCCCCCATACCTCAGCCTGCAGGCTGGGACAGGAGAGACTCAAAGATGTAGTTAGATCAGGAACACCTCTCCCTGCTGCCTTGTCAGTTTTCTAATATTTGAGGTTGCAGGGAAAGTGGGCTGTGGCTGGGTGTGTCCTTACTAGCAGAAGTGAGGCCGGCCCCCTCACCATCTCAAGCTGGGGCCCGTGCTATTGAAGGGAGGCCGGGGAAGCAAGAGCTCTTCCCATGGAGACAGCATGCTGAGCCTGATCCCATATGTGAGAAAAATAGTCATGACCTAAGGCAGGACAACAGCTTGTGTTCTTGAAAGTGGGAGATTCCCTCTGCCTGCTCCCCACTTCCCTATAGTCCCCCAATGGGATTGTCCTGCCATTGACTCCTGTCTGCCTACACACCTGGCTTTGGGCTCCATTCTCTCTGAGATGTCACACTGAAACTCATTCCCACTGAGGTACAAATGACTGGTGCCCCCTTATTACTCTTCTCTCCCAGAGAGACATTTGCAGGCTAATTGGGAAGCTACCCACGTTTCAGACACCATGTCCTTAGATGATGGCTGGCAGAAGTCTTGTGTCTGAGTAGGGCTGACCTTGGCCTGACTGGTCTGCCCGTAAGAGGAATAGCTCAGGCTGATGCACTAGAACTTTATTTGGGATGAAGATGGCAAAGTCATGTGCAGGCAGAGCATGTCCAGGATGTTGAGGTTCGACCCTGAAGACGCAGACACCAGGTCTAGAGCCGTGTGACGAGGTAACAGGTGCGGTGGGAGGCAGAAAGAGTCCTGGTGACGGCACAGGGAGGGGTGGAAGGCCTGCTGAGACACAGACCACAGCGCTGGGACAGGAGGCCTCGGACCAATGCCCTACTCTGCTCCTGCCCTCCTGGACCTGAACATCACCCTCTGGACTGGACCTGCCCCATCTCCCTTGACCTTAGGGGGGCATTTTGTGTTACCTGGAGCCTAAACTGAGATTGGGCACTTGATTTCCATGGCTGCCCAGACCTTCCTGAAGCTGTGGGAGAAGGGAGAGGGTCAGAGGAGGGGAAGGCTCCTCCCACCCAGGGACCAGCCAAGTCCTGCATGCCCCTCCCTGCCGGCTTCAAGGGGACGGGCAGAGCATCCAGGTGGAGGTGGCAGGGGAGGAAGAGCGGGCTGTTACCAGATGGGTGCTGGAGGGCCTTTGGGAGCGCTTCCGGTTCCAGAAGTATCCCAGGACCCTGTCTAGGAACACCTGGGGGCAAGCAGTGAGGGAGGTGGTCAGCCCACACCCCTTCCTCTTCCCCCCACCTCTGGGGTGGGTCCGTGGCTTCCTTCCCTCTCCCAGAGCTGGGCCCAGGCCCACCTCGCAGAGGTAGTCCAGGATCTCAAGGATGGTGAGCAGGCTGGCCCCGATGAACAGCCCCATCTGGCCCCCAATGTCGCCTGTGGAGATGGGGTCACTGTTGGCTCACAGCCACCTGCTCTGTGCACACCTCCCCAGGGTGCCCTGCACACACACCTAGCAGCTCTGACACCTCATAGGCCTTCTTCTGCTCCACTGTCTCGTAGTTGAGGGCCTCAAAGAAGATGTCCAGCACCAGTACGTTCTCCCTGGAGGAAAGGGGGCGGGAATGCTCACTGGACACCTCCTGGTGCGCGTTCCCTGGTCTCTAGGAGGGACATCGTCACCCACGTTTGCAGAGGACACAGCGCCAGAAACGTTAGGCGGCTAGTCCAGAGCCCCGTGCTGACATGCAGGCTGGTGGGTGGGCACAGGAAGGCCTGGTTGGCCCGGGGGGAGGGCGCCCGTCCCGCCCCGCCCCGCCCCGCCGGGCTCACGCGATGTAGGCCTCGCTGCGGTTGTATTTCCGGGCCAGGTAGCGGGCAGCGGCGCGGCTGGGCATCCGCACCATAGAGAGCTCCTTGGCGTAGCGCGTGATGGCGCACGGGTTGGGGCACACGCACGAGTCCTTCCGCAGCATGGCGTCTGCGGGCCACAGTCGTCTGGGTCAGGCTGCCTGCCCTGTGGGGTGGGGTCCCGGGCCCAGCGCGGCGGGGGCGGGGTGCAGGGAGCTGGCCCCTTACCCAGCGTGGGGTTGGCGCAGTCCTTGTACTGCTGCGGGCTGCACACCGGTGCGCTACCTGGGGGGCCAGACGGGAGGGTGTGTGTGACAGCTCAGGGCTCCTCCCAGTCCCGGCCCGCCCCGCGACTCCGTGTCCCTCCCCCGCTCCTTACCAGGCATGTGCATCATTCGGCAGCCGCACTTCCGAGCCACATAGCGGGTTTCGCAGGCCAGGCGACACCCCATTAGACTATAGGGAGGGCTGGGGCCCGGGCTGGGGCTGGGGGGACCCAGGGGACCAGCGGGTTCTGGCTCAAAGTCGGGGTCTAGGGATGCGGAGCTGCAGTCGCCCCAGGGTGGTGGCAGGAAGCTCAGCTGTAGAGGGTTAAGGAGGCTTGGGGAGAAGCGGGCACCCAGGGAGAATGTGAGTGGTCACTGCGGGATTGAGGCCCTGGGACAGGTCTGAAGAGCTGCAGGGTTGGGGTCTCAGTGGTGTGGGCTGAAGGAGGGGGTGGGAGCCTTGGTGGGGGAAGGGGGGCTTGGCCCAGGCAAGGATACTTGCTGCTGCTGGCAAGACACAAAAACCTGGTAGCCAGGGGCTGCCCCAAAGCCCAGCTGGTCGATGCTAGGTGGCTCCTCCTGGGTGTGGATCTGCACTCGGATCCCCACCTCAAACGGGGTCTCCTCTGTGAGGGGGGAGGAAGGGACCTGAGGCCTGGGTTCCTGGAGGCCCTGGCTGCAGCCCCTCTCCCCAGGCCTGTGATGGGCCAACCCCGCCCGCTCCCTACTCATAAAGGAAGGACATGCTTCAGGTCCCTTCCCAGCACCTCCCCTCCTTCCCAGAGCCTTTTGCACCCCCCCCCCCCCGGTGGCCACCCCCTAGCCTCACACGCAGGATCCCCTACCCATGTCCTTCCACACGGGCAGGTACTCGTCCTGCTGCACATCCAGCATGATCTCCAGCCCATTGCCTGCTCCGCCCTTGGGGGTGGTGAGAAGCTCTGCCCCATCTGCACCGGAGTTGAAGGTGTAGCACTGACCCATCCTGGTAAAGATCTGGGGGTAGCAGACGGGTGCAGACCTCACTGGGGAGCAAGGGGCAGCCAGGCAAGCCCAGGGCCATGGGACCGCTCCCTTCCCCATCCTCTGTTTGGATTTCTTCTTTGAACACGGAGGCCCACATCTCAGCGCCCTCCATCATACAGGCGCATGTAGTTGGACCCCCATGGGCTCCCATCACGCCACCTTCTCACCCCTTCTATCCGCAGCCAAGGGCACCAGTCCACAGGGCAAGTGTTTCTTTGGAGGCTGGGGTAAAAAACAGTGGGTCCCAATTGCTCCCCTCCAGGACTGGCAGAATGTGAACAGAGGGAAACCAGCCCCTCCCTCGCAGACAGTGGAGTCTTCTGCCCTGAAATGGTCCGCCCCACTTGTATCCCTCCACCCCCAGTAGTCAGGTTTCCATAGACCAGTCCTGAGCCCAGAGCCAGCCTGGGTGAGTGCCCACTCTGGAAGGTGTGACCTGGCACACTCTAGTCCAGCTGAGTGACAGGGCTGGTCTCAACAGAAAGGCGGGTATTGGTCAGGTGGGGGCCTGCCTCCTGGCTGGGAAGGACAGGGTCCCAGGACACAGGTGCTAAGATCCCCTGGCTTTGGGGGAACCTGGGCTGCCAAGACTGGGATGGCCAGCCCTAGGCACTCCTGGGTCTCTGGTGGGACAGGGTGGGTGGCCAGCTCACCGCAGTGAAGTTCTCAGGCCCGCAGGGTCGGCCGCGGTAGCGACAGTCCAGCAGCATGTCCTCCAGGGTGTGCCCAGCCCGGGTGTAGAGTCGGGCCATGTCGAAGGTGGGGCTGGGCATGAAGCCGGGTGGTGTCGGGGGCTGGCCCAGCGCGCGCAGGAAGGCGGCGTGCTCAGAGGGCTCCAGGCCTAGCAGCGAGGGCCCGGCCCAGTGCAGATCGTTGGGCGTGAGACGTGAGCGGCGCAGCGGGTTGATGTTGCACAGGGTGATGGCCGGGAAGGTGAGCTGGTGGCTTTCGCGCTCGTCCAGGGCCGTCTCGTGATGGAACTCCCCGTAGTAGCGCACCCTCTCTGCCACCTGGTAGAGGAAGGCAGCCATCGACAGGAGCATGGCCACGGCCCACAGCCCCCGGCGCGGGGTCAGGCTTCCTCGACCAAAGACATGGCTCAGCCCGTGTAGCGTGCAGCTGCTGGCGAACACACTGATGTCCGAGGCCTGCCGCCGGGCCTCCTCCGGCCCTGAGGGGGGCTTCATGGCCCCCGCTGAGGTGAGGGAACAGAGAGGGCTGGGTTGGTGGCCAGGCTAGAGAGGCTTAGCAGGAGAGGGTCAGTCTGAGGTCTGGGAGGGGCTGGCCAGGCAGGGGACAGTGCAGTGGGAGGCAAGGAGAGGAGCCACACCTGAAAGGGAGGTGGGGAGGCACTGGCCTTGGCTGGGTTGGATGTAGTGACCTGAAGGGTCCAGCTGGCCTCGTCCGGGAATAGGCTGTGGCTCCACGGGCCGGGGCTGGGCTGGGGGCTCCGCAGCTGAGCAGGTAGGGTGCAGCCTGCGTGGCCGGCTGGGCTGGTCTGCTGCTCTGCTGAGCCAGAGCTGCCGCAGAGGATTGGGTTTCAGCAGTGAGGGGCATGGGGGCTGGCAGAGCAGCCTGGGGGGTGGGGAGGTCCCTGGAGCCCCAGGCTGAGCCATTAGTGCAGCATGGGGGGGCTGGGGTTTGTTGAGGCCAGAGGCGCCAGCAGGAAACCACAGCAACCCTGGTTGGGCTTGAGGAGAACCCAGAGATAATCGGGGCTGGGGGTGCCCTTGGGGCCTCTAGTTTCCCAGCTGCAATCCCTGTGTATGGGGCTGAGAGTCAGTCACTGGCCCTTGGCCTGGCTCCTCCCTCCTCCCTTCCCACTAACCTCATCATGGGGCAGGGGTGGGGGTGGGGAGGTGTTCATTTTGCAAAGAGGGGAGTTGGCTCTTGAGCAGGCTGGAAGGTGGTGGGGCGTTTGGCATTGGCCATCTCCTCCTTCTGAGCCCCCAGTGTTCCAGCCTACCCCAGATGGCCCAGGCCTCTGCAGGTCCCATGTCCTGGGGGGGTGTCTCTTGAGTGACCCTCTTCCTGCCCCTGCCCCCACCCTCAACTCATGCCCTCCTGTCTGGAAGGTTGGTCTCTACCACAATGAAAGTGGGCTCACCTGCCACACTCCCAGGTAACATAGTCCAGTTCCCAGGTATGACATGGTGTTCTATGATTTCACATCTTTTTTCACTTAACACATTCTGGGGACCACGTGATATCCAGTACCTGGAAAACTTCCCCATTTTTAAATGGCTGCATACCCTTCCATTATGCGGACACACCCTTGTTGATATCACTGCGTCCCTGAAGAATTCTGGGGGTTTCCAGTCTTCCATTACAGTGTGCTCAGCAACACTGTAACTCCCAGACACAGAAGTGCCGGGTCAAGAGGCAACTTCGTGGGTCATTTGATGCCACAAAATTCCTGGCGTAGGAGTCACACCATTTTGTGCTCCCAGCAGTAACACGGGAGTGTGCCTGCTTTTTTGTGAGCTGGCGGGAGGGCCCTGGGCCAGAGCTGGCACATCTGACTGAACAAGTGTCAGAGGATCCAGAGCCTGTGGGGCAGTGGGCATCTCCCAGCAGCTGGAGCAGGCACCTCCAGAGAGCAGAGCACGGCCTGCGACGTCACTGCCTGCTGGCCTGACGGATCAGGATGTCTTGGGGACCCAAGCTGAGGGCCACAGGAGCCAGCCCGGTGGATGGGGAACGGGGAGACAGATGCTGCACTGGGGGCCTGAGAGAAAGCAGGTTTTATCTCCATTAACTCACTGAAATCTGTTTCTACTTTGTCTCTCTCGACAGAGCATCTGAGCCCACTGGGTTCGTGTTGGTGGGCTCTTGGCTGAGTAGAAGAAACAGTTCACAACATGGTCACACGGCACTGCAGTTGCCTGTCCGATGGGCAGGGACTGTCAACTCCATCGTGGGCACGAGAGGTGCTCAATGAACACATTTTGGACAGAGGAAGTGGGTAATACAGTTTATTGCCCAGATCTGACCACCTTTGGAGGCTGCAGCATTGTGAGTTTTAAGTACTTTACCACTGAAACTCTTAAACTGTCAAAATTAAGCATTGCCAGGCTCAGGATCCATGTTAACAGCCAAAGGAGCAAAGGGCCAGGCTCAGGCTACACGGCGCCAACCTCATGGCCTTCCAGCTGAAGGCACATGTGGACCTCGCTACTTTCCTAGCTGAGTGGGGCGTTGGAGCAGGATTTGGAGAGGCCACCCTGAAGGGCTAAGGAGACCCAGAATCTGGTGTCAGTGGGCCGAGGCCAGGGCTGGAGTAGCAGGAACTGGCCCAGCTGGCTCTCCTGAGGGAGGGGCCAGTGTGGACTGGGGGGAGGGGGCTTAAGGCCTGCTCTTGGCAGCACTAGGTGCTTAGTTGGCAAAGCAACCAGAAGTCAGCCCTGGGCTCTGCTTCCTGGGCGGGGGTGCCCTGGGATGCGATTTCTTCATCGGTCAGGGAGTGGGGCAGCAAAGCAGGGCGGCTGTGGCTGTGGCATTTTGGGTGGTTTCTGGTCCTAACCCACACACAGAAGAGGCTGTGGAGTTCCTCACCCAGCTCCTGCGCTCACACCTGAGCTCTGCTTCTGCAACTGCTGCTGCCCCCCAACCATGCCTCACCCTCTGTGCCACAGGAGAAACCTAACATGTTTGGTCAGCCTCGAAGGTCTGGCACAGGCCATCCCTCTCCCCGACCTAGGGAGCAGGGCTCAGTGGGTACCTCAGCCGGATGTGGCTGTGAAAGGGGAAGGTTGCCCGCTGACAGGTGATATGGGCAGAACCAAGGCAGGAGGGGAGTCCATGAGGGCTGGTGGGAAACCGCGGCTACTCCCAGGTCCTCATTCAAGCTTTGGGGCTGCTGGCTTCCCTTGGCCTGACCTCCAACTGGTTTTGTATTTGTCTGCCCAAGGGGCTTAGCATCAGCCCCTCCCTTGTGGTTTGGGGACTATTGGTACTATGTGCTCCTGTGGCTGTGGCTGTGATTTGGGGTGTATTGGCTCCTGCTCTGTCCCCTTCAGGCTGGTGTCCTCATGTAGAGGGGAGCTGTCTACAATCTCACCTTGTTACAGACTCGGGGGGGGGGGGCAGTGGTGAGACAGCCAGGCTGGACCACAATGCCCACCCCCCCTCTCCCTCCCCAAGGGCCTGTCAGGCATCCGTCCTGTTTGGATGAGGGAGGGTGAAATCTAGAAACAAGGATTGTGTGAAGGAAGAGAAGTTGTTCTGAGGATGGGGATTGTGGGTTTGAGGGGTTGACCCAAGGTGGGGGTTCCTTCTTTCAGGGCCCAGAGAGGCAGTGGGGATGAAGGGGTGTTGGGATCAGCCTAGGAAACGGAGGTCTGGCATGGGTGTGGGGGAGAACCCCAGGGTGAATTCTCTACCCACCCCAACCCTGAATGTAGTCTCCTTAGAGCTGGGGCCTGGACAAATTTAGGCTGTCGGGTAGGAGGGAGGCTGGCAGAGCTCCTGGGAGGAGGGTCTGGGGGGAGGTAGAGAGCAGAGCATGGGCCCAGGACTCCGCCTCCTTCCCTGTGCAGCCCAATGACTCGGTGGCTCTGGCAGGAGGAAGGCAGCCAGGAGGTAGGTGGGGGAGGCGATGGGAGCAGTTCCAACTTCCTTCCAGCCTAGGGCTTGTCCTGGGTTTATGTGGGCAGGGGGGCAGCCCACAGCCCAGCCCGGCCCTCTGGGGAGCTCAGTCCTCAGCCCTGGGCACTAATGCTTGGCAGTGACCAGACTGCAGAGGGCTGCTCTCAGGACTTTGGGTGGTGGTTCCTGGGGCCTCTGGGGGCCTCAGGAGACGGGGCACCCAGGGCCTGTCTCCTGATGAGCTCGGCATAGAGGCCACCTTTCTTCAGGAGCTCTTCATGGGTCCCCTCCTGGAGAGGAAGGAGGGGCAGATGGTCACCCAACACAGCTCAGAGTTCAGGGCCCTACAAAGCTGGCTTCATATTGGCCATCGGGCTCACTGTCACCTAAGCCAGCGTCCCTTGTGGGGACACTATGAAACCAAAGCACAAGTGGTTACAGGTGCCACTGGCACATCTGTGTCTGTAAGCAGCACTCCCTGCTGTCCTCCAGGCCCCCTCACAACCCAAAGACCCCCAGCTCAGGGCCTGCAGCCCTGCAAACCCTTCAGCTTTGGCTTGAACAGGCCCCACGCAGCCTCAAAGCCTTGCTGTGGACCCTGCCTCTGGGTGCAGCTCCTGGCTGGTCCCTGGGGCTGCCTCTTCTGCACCTCAGCCCCAGGCACACTACACTTCCCTGTGACCCTGGGAGCTCTCCTGCCCCCAGGGAACAGAGGAAGACTCTGGTGACCTGAGAGGCCAGCGCTTACCAAAGGGCAGAAATTTCTGAATCCACATGGGGTGCTGCTTGTAGAAGATAGCCCCAAGCCCCCAGGACCCGGCCATACGCTCACACAGCTCGGCTGAGCCACTGCTCCAGTGTGTCTACGGCTCAAGCTTCCCAACAACCCTCCGCCCCCGCCTCCCCCCCCCCCCCCCCCCCGGCACCCACTAACCTCACAGACACAGCCCTGGGCCATGACGACGATGTGGTGGGCCCCTCGTACGGTGCTCAGCCGGTGGGCGATGACCAGCACAGTGCGGCCAGTGCTGGCTCGGTCCAGGGCCTCCTGCACCACCCGCTCGGACTCTGCATCCAGAGCGCTAGTCGCCTCGTCCAGGATCAGCACTGCTGGCTGCTTGATGAGGGCGCGGGCGATGGCCAGGCGCTGCTTCTGGCCACCAGACAGGGTTGTGCCCCGTTCACCTGGGGATGAAGGGGACAGGGCAGGGGCCTGAAGCAGTCAGCTCTGCACTTGGGGGAGGTCCTGCAAAGGGGCACGGGTCTGTTGGGAACTTTCCATCTGGCCCCTTGGGGTCCCCCCTTGGCCTGTGCGTGTTCGCCCTGCCTCTGCATCGGCTCCCACATCCCTGTGCAAATGCACACACACTCGTGCAAGGTGATGTGAGCTGTGCACACGGTAGGGCTCCGGGTGTGAGCGCCAGGATGGGATCTGAGGTTCTAGCCGCCATCCCTGGCCTCATGGGTCTCCGCTGCTGTGGGACATCCAAGACCTGATATAGGCTCCTGGGGGTGTGACAGCACAGGCATTCTGGGGAGGCCACATCTGGGGAGAACTGCAGGGGTGGCAGCCTTGGAGCCAAAGAGCCTCCGGGCGACGGCCGTCACGGAGCAGGGAGGGGCAGGCTGAAGCCCCAGAGAAGCCTGGAGCGTGCTGGGTGCGAGGTACGACAGTGCCACCCAAGAGGCTGTGGAATCTCAGCAGTGAGTAACCCAGCTGATCAGTAACACGGGACATGAAGATGGCTACAGACGGGAGCACCCCTCGGGAGGTGGAAGTTCAGCTAGACTGAGGCCGAAGTTCAAAAAGAGAGCGGACAACCTGGTGTGCCTGTGCCCAGAGACATGCGGGGACATTAGCCAAGAGCCCAGAGACTGGACGATAGATAACATGCCCCAGGGGCTGGAGAGAAGACCTCCAAGATGAGCGACGCTGCAAGCTGCCACTCGGACGCCCTACAGGGCCAGTCCTCTCCTGGGTAAGTCAGAGAGGACACTCCTTTAAGTCAGAGAGCAGGACAGGGACGGTGGACGACTACGAGATCACACCCACTGCTCGCGTCTCAGAACACAGGCCCCAACACCCAATCGCTGTGTCCCTGGCGGGTCCTGTACAGTTACATCACTTAACGATTAAATACATTCTGAGAGCCCCAGCCGGTTTAGCTCAGTGGACAGGGCGTTGACCTGCAGACCGAGTGGTCACACGGCACTGGTCAAGGCCATGTATCTTGGCTGTAGGGTCCTCCGCAGCCCGGGCTCATGCAGGAGGCAACCAATTGATGTGTTTCTCACATCGATATTTCTCTCTGTCTTTCCCTCTCTCTTCCACTCTCCCTAAAAATCAATGGAAAAAATCCTCAAATGAGAATAAAAAAAAAACAGCATTCTGAGAAATGCGTCATTGGTGACTTTTATTGTTGTGCAGCCCACAGCACGCCAGGCTGTGCGGGTATCCCGGTCCTGCACGTGGTCCGTTGTTGACCGGGACATCATTATCGGCCCGGACGGTGACTGCATTCCCTGTCGTGTCTGTCTGTGCAGCCTGCTTGTGCCTGGACTCCCCTGTCCCCACTGGCCGCAGTTCTGGCCTATCTTCCTCGATGCAATGCCTATTCCTGTCCCCTCGGCCCCAGCCTCACACCATGGGCCCTGCAGACCCAGCAGGCACTTGGCACTCACCGACGACGGTGTTGTAGCCCTCGGGGAAGCTGGTGATGAACTCGTGTGCGTTGGCTTCCCGGGCAGCTGCGTAGACCTCTTCATCAGAGGCACCCAGCTTCCCAAAGCGGATGTTCTCCATGATTGTTGTTCCGAACAGGACTGGCTCCTGGGGTGGGAGGGGGGAGTCCACAGGAAACCCTCTGACTTTGCCCCAACCCCGAGGGGGATGTCAGGAGCGGCTATTTTGGACACACCAGGACCCCTTGGAGGGCAGGCAGGGCCAGTTCAGTTACAGTTCAAGTGAGAACAGAGAGCCCCTCCCCTCTGCAGGGATGGGCACAGAGGAGTGTGCACTGCGGCTTTCTTCTGCCGTGGAGGCAGCCTCGGGGGGTTAGTAGGTGCCCGCTTAATCCATGCCCAGCGGGAAAGTGGACCCTCTCTGGGCGGCACCGCCTCAAGCAGAGGCAGTGTCAGACCTTGCTTAGTGAGTGAGTGGCCGCCAGCAGTACCAGCAGCATCGCATGGGTGTTTCTAGATCTCTGGACACCGTGGGCTTGTCATAACCCAGGGATCCTGCAA